ACAGACCAACATCACGTCTGGTATGACTCTCTGGATCACTGTGGGGTGTCTTGGAGGTTGGCTGCCACAATAAACAACTTGTAGGCCTCAGGAAAGTCTCCATTTACCCATCCTTTTTGTTTTGAGACATGGTACCATGTCCTTCTGATCTTCCTGCCTCCACCGCCTGAGTTCTGAGGTTAGAGTCACGTGTGACCACATCTGGCTTGTGCAGTCCTGGGGATCAAACTTGGAGCTCCATGCTGGTGGCATATCGTCTACCACCTGAGACCCACCCACAACCCCCATTTATTCTAAATGGATAAATGGTCCCTAGCAGCTTGAAAGATTTGTGGTCTTGAGTCTGTGCTGAGTGTTGTAGGGCTAGTGCTGGGGGCTATTGTGGAAACAGGTATAGTATGGCTTCTAATTGGTCTTAATAATAAAAACCCAGAGTCAGACAGGGGTTAATGCTGAAAGATCAGAGAAGCAGAGCAGGAAGTGCTACTGCATCCTCAGACCAAAGGGGGAAATCCTGTGCCTACAAAACCTCAGGCTGAATCTGAGCTCCTGTCTCCTCCCAACTTATGTTCCTGTCTCCACCCAGCCATATCACTCCTGTCTCTGCCTCCCTAGAGACTGAATTAAAGGCGTGGAATCCCAAGTGTTGGGATCACCTTTGCGTAATCTCTGTTTCTCTTTTAGACAGATTCAATCTTGTGTAGCCTAGGGTGGCCTTGAACTCTCAGAAATTCATCTCTGTCTACTAAGGGCTGAGATTTAAAGAGTGTGCCACCACTGCCTGGCCTCTGTGGCTAACGAATGGCTTAGCTCTGCACTCTGATATTCAGGCAAGCTTTATTTGTTAGATCACAAACAAGATATCACCATAGATGACAAGGACTATTTAAGAGGCACTCTGGAGGTCCAACTGAGGCACAGCAGAGGACCAGGGTGCCAGCAACAGATGCGGGAGTCGGCAGGTTATGAATCTGAAAGAGGGCTAAAGGAATTTCTGCAGACTTGGGACATTTTTGTCTTCATTCCTTCTGAGTGATCTTGTCTGTTTCTCTGGTTTAAGCGAGCATTTCATCAACATCACAGTGAAAGCCACAATGCTTTCTGCAGTAGATTCCTGACCCGTTCTGAAGCTCTGCCCGAGACAAGTGTTGATGATTTGCCAGGCTGCTGCAGAAAGCCTGCCTTGAATCCCTGTCCAGAGCCAGGTATCAAAACCCAAGCTTGATATATTGTCTTGTTAGACAGAAATAACCTTACCAACAACATCTGAGTTCAAACTCAACACTCAGCAGATCCAAACGCAAGCCATTATTTCTAGCTGCCACTCCTTTCCAGTGCTCCGGATCAGTGGGTGCGGCACCAAGGACCCTAGCAGGAAGTCTGGGGGTTGTCTGATAGCCATGTGTCCTTCAAGCACCGAGTCTTACCAGTTTCTCCTATGTGTTCCTGAGACCTGACTTCTGTGTCTAATGTTTTCGTCCACGCCTAACAGAACTGAATGAATCTTGTGCACCAACTAGGTGAAATCCGACATGTATCACATTCCTCCATCATTTTCAGTAGCTGTCCACTGATGAAGGCATCAAGCCCAAGTTCCTCACTAACATGGCTTATGTTCCAGTGTGGTCTAGTGTGCTCTAGACACTGACTGAGCTGGCCCCTCTCAAATATGTTTCTCATCCTTATGTTTCAAACACTTTACATTCCATCGACTTTCTCTTCTCCTCCTCTCTGGCAGCCCTGCTTTGACCTTTATGAGAAGTCTAGCCCAAGCTTTGCCTAGAACTGGATATGTAGTTCAGGATAGCCTGAAATGCAGAATCCTCCTGCCTCTGGGATCACTGATGTCCAAAACCGTACCCATCCATTCCAGCCTTCTTGAATTAACCAAAGTGTTGTGGGATATTTGTACACTGTGTGAAAATATATGGCTGTGATTGGCTTAATAAAGAGCTAAAGGGCCAAACAAGTCAGGAGGTACTGGCGTGACTTCCAGGCAGAGAGGAAGTAGGAGACTACAAAAGTGTGGAGAAGACACCAACGAGACACGAAGGGAACAGAGCATACAATATGAAATAAAAGTAAAAAGTCACATGGTAAAACATAGATTGTTTTTAAAGCAGGTTAATTTAAGTCATAAGAGCTAGTGAGACAAACCTAAGCTAAGGCCACACTTTCATAACTAATAATAAATCTCCGTGAAATTATTTGTGAGCTGACGGTCAAGGGAAAAACTTGCTGCACTAGAAAGCCAGCAAGGTCCTTACAAACTTCTTATGCAAGCCGCTCCACTGTAGGCCACCAGGCCACTGCTAACTCATCTCCTCCACACCAAACATCTCTTCCTGGAGCCCCCAACCTTCTCACATGGGCCACCCAGCCCCAGCTGTTCTTCAGACACAGCACTGCGGTCACCTTCTCCAAGAAGCCTTCGCTAGATCCTCATTTTTGTCCTCAAAATACGCATGGAAACTCATTTGTCCTATTCTATCGAAAGTTATAATTTTTTTCTATCTCCTCTTTATATTATTATCAAGTTCAGGGTCTAGGATTATGTCATACTTCCTTTACCTAATCATGTTCATGACTTTTTACAACCTGTAGCACCCCCACCTCTCTCTCTCTCTCTCTCTCTCTCTCTCTCTCTCTCTCTCTCTGTGTGTGTGTGTGTGTGTGTGTGTGTGTGTGTGTGTGTGTGATGTTGGAGGAAATACATGTGTGTCCTACATCATACTCACACAAGATCATAAATAATTATGTTATAATTTGTGTGTTGACTGGGATTTGGTGTTTTCTCTGCTGTTTTATAGCACTGTCATTTCATTCAAAAAGGAAAATCAAAAATGAACAATAAAAGAGCCTCATTCAGATCCTCAGGAGGATCCCAGAAGGTGTTATCAAGGAAATCAGAGCTCCAAGATGGCCAGTCCCCTGAAGGGCCTGGGACAAGATGAGGTGGGTGGCTGTCATCCTGTCCAAATTTGTCCAATGTGAATGTTTATGCTGTTGCTTGTTATATTTATATATATATACAAAACAACAAAAGAAAATACACCTTTTTTTTCTGCAGTTGAGAAAACTGAGGCTTAGATGGGAAAGTCAGATGAAGGGTGCTGGCAGTCAAAAGCAGACAAGAGATGGGGTGGGGGTGAGAGTGGAGGGGAGGGGAGGGGCGTGGTCAGACCAAGGGTGCTGATAGGGGGGTCAGAAGCAGATGAGAGATGGGGTGGGGTGGGGGTGGAGTGGAGAAGAATACCACCAAAGATGCTGACGGAGTGGTCCAAAGCAGCCTTTCTCTCCCCATTCCGAGACCGGTATGTACAGACACATTTCAGAGCAGGCAGAGGTTAGGGCAGAAAGCCTTCTCTGCCTGCTTCTTTTTATGTCCTTTAAGAAACATGTCTATGCAAAAATCATGCTGTGTCAGCAGCCAGCGGGGTGGAGTGGGGCGGGTCAACACTTTCAGAAGCCCCTGTCAAAAGTATGCAAGATTTCTCTGGATTCACCTTTCTGTCCTATACCCTTGAAACAGCTGGACCACTTCCAGGGTTTCATTGTTCTGAAAATTCTTAAGCAGGTTTGTAAAGTTTAGTGGCGTCACTCGGCATTAGCCTGCCTGTGTGCCGTGCCGAAACAGAGATCCTCCTACCACGAAGGCAGCTGGGCAAGGGAGCCTTGGTCAATAACTAATTCTTCCCAGCAAGGGCGGGAAGGGCAGTGTCTGCTGTTTCAATCCTTTGGAAGGAATCCATTCCAAAAATCCTCTGGTAAATAAAAGAATGATCGGCCACAGAAAAACACAGGAAGAGGTCACCTGGGGTAAATGAATTCCATAGCAACCTCTTCACAGGTCCTACCAGTTTCCTTGAACCCCCAGTGTTTGTGCACGGGAGGACAATTTCCAAGAATGTTTCACCAAAATGACGATTGACCTTGTAGTCGCTATTATTTCAAGGTTGTAGGCCCCTCTGAAAACTTGATAAAAATTATGAATTTCTCTGTGTTCCAAGGGTGGTGTAGAGATGACATAGATCATATGGAGTCTACAGCTTTTGCCTTCTGATATCTTTCCCTAAAGTGCCTCGGTAACAGAGACTACCAGAATACATTGGGCTCTACCCAGCAGGGACAGTCAGGCCTAACTAGTGGTATTGTCCCTCTTAGCACAGGAAATGGGTGTGCTCAAGTAGACTCTGACCCCACCACTGCAAAGTTTTAAGTCTGCTTTATTCTGTTAATGTATTGTTTATTCTTTAATTGTCTCCCCTTGAGAATGTAAGTTTCCCCAGACTGCAGAGGTTTGACTTTGTTGTACCTCAGTACCCCAACACTGTTTGAAAGAGAAATACCCAGCAAATAGTATCAAATGAATAAATATGCCCCTCTTTTTCTTCTGGGTAAATCATATACATTTTTTTTTATTTCTGATATTAGAATACAATTACAACATTTCTCTCTTTCCTGCCTCCAAACACTACCACTCCCCATAAAAACACACACACACACTCAAATACTTGATCTTTTTTTCGTTATTATCACATGCATATATATGCACATATATACATGAATATATATTCCTAAATATAACCCGCTTGCTCTGTATAATGTTACTTGCATGGTGTTTTCGGGACTGTATTGGCACTAGGCAACTAATTATTGTGCTCTTCCTTGGGGAAGATCACGTCTCCACTCCCAGCTTTCCTCAGTTGCCTGGAGTTCTTTGTGTAGGGTAGAGAGGTCTTGTGGGGCTTTTCCAGTCCACCTTGGCATGTCCATTGGTGTTGTCCTTGGCAGCTCAAGTGCAGGCAGTCATGTTTGTGAGACTTTATGGGTGTAGGTTCTGACATTACTAGGAGATACAGTCTCACAGCAAACTCCCAGATCATCTGGCTCTTATAATCTTTCCACACCCTCTTCTGCAATGTTTTCTGAGCCTCGGATGTGGGAGTATTTTGTATTCGTTGATACTGGGCTCCACAAGTCTGCATTTTGATTGGTGGTGGTCTATCCATAGTGGTCTCCATCGGTTCCAAAGAGAGGTTTTCTTGATGAAGGGTAGAGACTAGATGTCCCTGTGGGTAAAAGAACAACTGTTAAGGATTGTTGTTAGGGTGATGATGGTTTGGTAAAGGAGTCACTGTAGATTCTCCTCCAGTAACCATGACATCACCACCGAGAAGTTAGCTAGGTTTTCAGTACCTGGCATGCTCTTTGTCTTGTCGAGTGGGGTCTTAGCTCCAATTAGAGAGCATTTTTATCAGTGTCCAGCTATCCACTGTGTTTAATGGGTGATCTTTTACCTACATATTATCTTGAAATGTATAAAATGGCTCTGTCTGGGGGTTTTCTTAACTTGGTTGAATTTAATTATGTACTATTCTCCTGTTTGGTGCTTACTTATTTGTTTGTTTTTTTATTACTGGTGAGATGGCCTTACTATGAAGCCATGCAGCTCAGGCCTGACCGCAAATCTGAGACCCTCTTGACTCAGCCTGCTGGATTTCAGGTACATACACTGTCTTATGTGCATAGTTAGGGTTGCTATTGCTGAGATAAAACACTATGACCAAAAAAACTTGGGGAGAAAAGCATTTAATTAGCTTCCATATAGTAGGCCATTGAGGGAAGTCATGGCAGAAACTCAAACAGGGGGGAAAAAAAAGAAAAACTGGAGGTAGGAGTTGATGTAGATGTCAGGAAGGAGTGTGGCTTACTTGCTTGCCCTCCATGGTTTGTTCAGCCCACTTTTTTTTTATAGAATCCAGGACCACCAGCCCAGGGGTGGAACTTTCCAAAATCGACTGTGCCCTCCTCTACCTATCACTAATTGGTACGGGAAAATTGTCTGTATTCTGTCAATCATGCTTTAAATAAACGCTGATTGGCCAGGCAGGAAGTATAGGTGAAAAAAACCAGACAGAAAGTAAAAATGATACAATGAGAACAGGAAAAATCTGGGAAGGAGGAAGTTGATTCCTCCCAGTCCTGCACAGATCACCAAGGAAGCAGGATGTGACCTGCCGGCTGGAAAAGGTACTGAGCCAGATGGCTAAAATAGATCGGAATAATGGGTTAATATAAGTTACAAGAACTAATAAGAAGCCTGACCTAATGGGCCAATCAGCTTTATAACTTATAGAGATCTCTGTGTGATTTTCTCTGGGACTAAACTGCTGGGGAACTGGGCAGGACAGAATCCCCCAACAAACAAGTAGCCACCCCCTTCATGTTACAATAAATTTTAAAAAAAAAAATGTCCTATATGGCTTACCTGCAACCCAATCTTATAGAAGCTTTTTTTTTTTTTCTCCAATTGAGGTTCCTTCCTCTTGGATGCATATAGCTTGTTCAAGTTGCCCTAAACTATCCAGCACCTACCCCACAACCCCCACTGCTTTCCCTCTTAGACTTTTTCTAGGGAGTCCGGTTTCTCACGCCAGCTGACCACCATCTCCTTGGCCACTCCAGCTCTAATTACCCTAAGGGGAAATGCAATCCCTGGCAGGGACTTTCAAAATTAGCCTAAGAACACACAGCAACCAATAAACTTGGATAAAGACTGAAATAATGCTGTTTTTCCAAGTGACTCTGTTGAGGTAGCAAGCACTAAGTGTATAGATACAAATATTGAAATCTGAGTATCAATGAGCCTGAAGTTTTGACTGCAGTCATAGGAGCGTGGAGAGTCAGTGAGGTACAGAACGCGGCCACTGTTTCCTCAAAAGGTTTGCATATGGCCTTGGCAGCTTGTTCTCATTTAAATGACTTCACAAACCATTTCCTCAAATAGCAACAAAGTCAGTTTTAGCATATATGTGATTATCACAGATTTCTGCCTTAGATGATGAATTAATGAAGTTGAATTTTCTTTTGCAAATCTGCACTCCTGGATAAAACCAAGGGCAGCGGGATTTTTGCTGTTTTGTTTTTACTTTTGTTTATTTCGTTTGAAGGTTTGTGGCTTCAATACACAGCAACATCGTAAAATTAGAACCGGGAAGCAAAGCTCCAAAAATGTCTGAAAAGAAATATTTAGCACCAAGCATATACATTTAACATTCAAAATTCTTACTCTGCATTTCCTACCAACAAGTTGTCTTACCAGGAAAAAAAGAAGAAAAGAAAAGAAAAAAAGCTGGTGGGGGCCCTGAAGAAGCAGGAGTTGGCGTACACACCAAAGCCTCTACAAATTTATTACTGTTGTTTGGGGGGGGGGGCTCCACATAGCTCCCTAAGATTATGGCTTTTAGGCACGCACACACAGTTATTCATAGCACGCACGGCTATGGGGACCATCCCCCAGCATGCACACTCATGCATCCCATGTCACATGGGCTGGCTGGTTCCACATGTGTCATTAATTGTCAAGAATGCTGCTCAGAGCTGGCTGATCGGAAGATAGGCAGTGCAAAGGAACAGGATTTGAGACAGCCCAGGGTTTCCTCTTCAAGTAGGTTTAAAACATTTTTTTTCTCTCTCTCTCTCTCACTAACTTCCTTCCTGTTCTAACTGCCGGTACTCAGAAGTCAGAGTTGACAGGCAGAGGTACCGGCAGAGACGTGAAGCCCTGACTGTAAGTTGAATGCCTGAGGTGGGGGAGGCTGCAGGAGGGCGCAGAGCCATGCAGGAAATCTCAGAACCATGCTCCTGCCCTGCAGCAGATGAGCCCTTGCTGTCTTTAAGAAGGCTGGTTCTTTAAAACAAACTTCACGATAAGAAGTGCTAACGAGACCGCTGGAGCAGAAAAGGGGAAGTCAGGGCTGGGAATGGTAGACAAGCTGGAGGAGGTAGGCGAGTACCCTGCTAGGAGAATGTTCTAGAGAAGGGCTCTGGGAATACCTGGGATCCGGGCGGGGGTGGTGCACAGAGCTGTTTCCTTGCTTGGCAGGAGCTGGAATTTACCAAGCTCAGGAAAAGAAAAAGCTGTACCTCCGCGTTGATATGTACTGTGCTGGTGGATAATGGGTTGTGCTGGGGTGGGGCTATGCGGTTTCCTGTTTTTAAGCACACTTTAAAGAGAATGTTTGAGAAGAGAAAAAAAATATGGTTCCAAGCTGTCAAGTACTAAGGCATTAGCAAAAGCAGGGGATTAAATTCCTGCAGTGGGATGGGCAGAAACATAGTCACTGTTACTGCCCTAAACAAAACAGCCTTTCACACCAGGGAGAACTAAAGGGAGCCCAAAGATACAGGGAAGGGTGTTGGACAGAGAGAGGCTAGGAGAAGCTAAGAGGGCTCAACCATGAACAGGGTCAGTGGGCCTTCGGGCTATCATGGCCTGAACTTTGGCCTCATTAGAAGTGCTTTCAGGATGACTTGACAGGCCTTCCTCTCCTTATCACCTCCCAGGCAGCCTGTCCTAACATCCCCCCCATTTGGGGTAAACTGTGATGTGGCTGAGAGAAACCCTGAGCAGTTCCTCACTGCCAGTGAGAGAGGTAGACTACAGGAAGCTCCCTACGAGAGCCTCCCCAAGTCAGGGTTGGCTGGGAACTGCTCACCAGCAGGTGCCATCCATCTTGTCATTTCTAAGAGTATTTCCCTGCCAATTTCAAATACAGCACAGTTTAGTGACAAAATCAGCTTATTCTTTTGGGAGGCCTGAGTCTCTGATAGACTGAGGATCCCCCTCCATCTCCATGGCCCAGACTCAGCTGGTGAGGAACAACCATGGCTACACGGCCTCTGCCTCACGGGCATCTCCCAGCCCTTGGAATCTGGTCCCTCGCCATTTTGGGGACCATGGGTCTGTCCCTAGGGAAATAGACTCTGAGTAGTCTCACAGCGTTGTTTGCACTGGAAGCTCGGAAGAACAGAGTTATTCTGAGGGGAATTTATGGGAATATAATATGTGACTAACTTCAGCTAGCAGGAAGGAGGAGTCCTGTGGGGAGAAAATTATGCAGAGAGAAGACAGCCAGCATTGGCTCAGAGCCCTCTGTGTGCCAAGCTTGGTATTGGGAAACTCAACATTTTCATACTGAGCAAATGGAGACGATTACTAAGTCACGGGAGTGTTCGGTAGTTCAGCTGAAGTCATGTAGCGGGTAGGGTGAAGGAACCGGTAGCCTTGGGAAATGTCCATGGAAGCGGGTTTCTCTACGCCCGTGTGTGGAGTGCCTTTGTTGGTTGGGCAGCACGCTCTCTTATGAACTGTGCTGGTGGATGGTGGAGTGGAGTAAAGTCTACAGTGGCAGGTCCCAGGTCTCACTTGCTCATGCACCATCATGGGTACTTTCACCCATACAGCAAACTCTTACCAATTTGTTCTCTGTTGATAACGCTTTGATTGCCTCAACCAAGGCTGGCTAAAACTCCACCAGGTCTTTGAAGCTTCAGGGTTCTAATAACCTAAGTTTGACCGGCCACGAAACTGTCTTTGACTTCTAATGTTTCATTCATTTAAAACCTTGGGGAATATGTTGTGTTGTGTTACTCAAGGCTAGGTTTTTTTGGGTTTTTTTTTTTTTTTTTTTTTTTTTTTTTTTGCCTAGTCATGGCTTCCATAGCACAGCTGCCTTTGAAGACTGTTTTAAAGTATTATTTGGGAAAGAAAAGTTTCGCAGGGTGGGCAGTTGGAGAAACACCATAAATCTTAGTCTTATCTCCTTCTGCACCAAAATACAGGGCTGGAAAAGCACGCTAGGAATGCAGAGGCAGGAAATAATAAGCTGTTTCCCTCAGGAAGGGAAAGGTGAAACTCTGTTTCTGAGGAGCCGTGGTACACACCTTTAACCATAGCATTTGGGAGGCAGAGGCAGGGGTTTCTCTGTGACTTCCAGGACCGCCCGGGCTACATAGTGCAACCCGGTCTGGGAGAAAAAAAGGAAGGGGTTGGATTTTTTAAAATAGAGAAATAGAGAATTCGGTTTAAGAACTATGTCCTCTTCTGGACATAAGAGCCTTCACTGTAGCATACAAGAAGGGTCCCTCTCAGTCGCTAGCTTGGATCTTCACATCTAGTTTTGAGTTTGGAACGTCCAAGCAGCTGACTTGGTAGAGAATGGCCTTTCAGTGTCAAGGAAGGGCCAAATCTTCCATTCATCTAGGAATGCTGAAGGACTGAGGGTTATTCCAGAAGCAACCAAGAGGCCTTGTGGATGTCCCAGGAGATAAGCTGGGGTCCTGAGACCAGGCAGCAGCATCAAAGCCTACAGAGTCTTGATTAGCTGTGAGACCTGCAGTTTTCAGGAAGAACCCAGCTCTCTGCTCTGGGCCCTACCGGAAAATCCCCTGCTCCCATCCCTCCCCACCCCCACACCTCTCTCCCTTTCTCTAGTTGCTACCTCTTCCTTGTAGTGACTCAGATGTGCAGGGTAACACCCCAGGAGACCCAGCCTTTCCACCTACTTCAGTCGCCCCTGCATTTTGCTCCAGAGCCAGAGGGAGTTTCTCCATCCACTGCTCTGCATCCACTGACTCATCGTTCAGAGTGAACGGGGGCTTCGGTCAGACAAAGATTCAATAAACGAAGTCTAAGATGAAATTGTTACTGCGAGGTATTTCTAAAGAAATACGGTAGTTATCTTTGTAGTTTTACATTAGACTCCACTTATAAACAACCCTCAGAAGTCCCTGAACCTTGGCTCTCTTCCTTACTCCTCTGAAAAACGGACTACAGATTGAGGAGAAAGGGCTGGACAGGATCAGTTTGTATTCAGGGGAAGCTTTCGGCACTTAGGCGTTACATACCGCAAAACACATAGTGTCAGCAAGGGCAGCAAGGGAGGAGAGGAGGAAAGGGATTAAGTTTATTAATATGCATTAGTAATCTCCAGGCCAGATCTTCCCCTTTTCAGTGCCATCGGGGAGGATCAGTTTTTGCTTCATCACTGGCGGATGTTAGAAGCTCGCTTAGGGCCTGTAAGAAGTTCATTGCAAAGCCAGGCTTCGAGTAGGCCTACCTTCCTCGAGCCCACATTTTATCAAAGATGAAGGTCACTTCGCTAAGTTAATCAGGGGCAAGATTTATTTTCTACAAATGTAGAATCTAACAACTCATATGAAGCTATATTAACAGTCAGATGTGTGTGTATTGGCCCGAGGTTAAGCTGTGCTTACTAGTTTCTCTGGCCTTTTTCTGTGTCTGTAACATGAAGCCCCCTCACCGTGCCTGGTGGTTCCTTTCAATAGTCCCTGGGCTGCACCGAGCGTGGAATTGCTAAGTTTGGACTCAGAACAGCCCGGTAACTGCTTGTGGCTGTTTCTATGATAGTCTTTGTGACACAAGGAGCTTCAGGTAAAGAAACATGATTTACGTCTGAGGAGGAGGAAAGCAAGTTATATACAACTCAAAATGCAGCACCTTAAGGAAAGTCATATGGGATTTAAAGAGTTCAATGCTGGTATTGTTCTCTCATATTCACAAATGAGGTAAAGTTAGCAAAGAATAGCTCAGCCGTCACACTGAAGGGAGATACCTGCAGAGAGGCGGGGACTAGCGGGCCATCTAGGACCATGTGCCCTGGTCCCCATCTCTCAAGACAAGGAGCGTAGGGTCCTCAAGGCTGAAGTATGTGCCCACAGAGTTCACTTCGACAGAGGCGGGACCAACCTCCGTACGTGATGGGGCTGCTTAGTGTGGAGATAAACAGCCCCAGATCACACAGTCTCACCACAAGCCCACACTCATGAGCCGTGGATAGTACCTGATGTTCTCTGCTTCTGCATAGCCAACATTTGGGGTCAGTAAGTTCAGTCTTGACTTTGAGGTCCAATCTCAAGGATCCGGCAGGGCCTCGGGGGGAAGAATTTCCTCTGTAGCAATTAACTGTACTGCATTCATCAGAAGTTATAGGGCCAAGGTCACATTTCCAACCTGCAGTTCTTAGACCCTGATAAAGATTATGAAGGGCAGGCCAGGCCACGCGGTGGTGGCGCACACCTTTAATCCCAGCACTCAGAAGGCAGAGGCGGGCAGATCTCTGTGAGTTCGAGGACAGCTTGGTCTACAAAGCGAGTTCCAGGGGACAGCCAGAACTAAAACAGTGAAACCCTATCTTGAAAAACCAAACAAACAAAAAACGAAACAAAATAAAAAAGATTATGAAGGGCTTCAGAATCCATGAGTCTATGAGCTAAAAGAATAAAAAATCATATCTTTCTCTATTCTTTTTCTCTTTGGACTAAAGACCATGATGTCTGTCATATTTTTCAAGAGTTGCTTATTTTTATTTTTATGTTCATGACTGTTTTGCACACATATTTGTGTGTGCACCCCAGAAGCAAGAAGAAGGTGACAGACCTTCCAGAACTAGAGTTACGGATGGTTATGAGCAGCCTAGGTGCTGGGAATCCAAACCAGGTCCTCTGTAGAGGCAGCCAGTGCTCGTAGCGACTGAATCGTCTCTCAGTCCCTGTTTATCACATTTTTAAGGGTCCCGTCATCTCCCTAAAGGGAAGGGCCACCATCAACCAGCTAGGTCTCTTGAGTGTGATGGAAGCCACCAGCTTCCCTTCTTTCCCTGCCTCTGGCCAGCATCGTACACGTCAGCATGCTCCGAAGTGAATCCTTTGTAAACCGTGGCTGCCCACCGACAAGTCTTAACCTCCTTTTTGTTTAAAAGGCTTCGGCTGAGTGCTGCCTTTGCTGTAATTTTGTGTTTATTACCATAATAATCATCTTTCCAGAGTGAGGAACTTTGGATCGGGGGTCTCGGATCTGTTTCTTATGCTATGATTATGTCAAATTATTGTAATTGGCTCTGAAATGCCCTCTTTTATTGCGCCAATTCCAGACACGGCACTTTGTCCTCCCCTCTTCAACTTCTTCAAAAAGTTGTCTTGGTTTTATGAAATGTTTATGTTTGCAATTACAAAAATATAAATTGTGTCAGATTTAATAATAAGACAGAAACACAGATGATGGAAGAATTGATTTGGCAAAGGTCACATAGAAGTTTACAAGTCTTATGCCAGACCATCCCTCCTCTCCCCCCTCTCCCCCTCCATCTCCTTCTCTCTTCCCCTCTCCTG